CCCAGCCCAAGTCACCATGCGAATCCTTGACATGCATCACCAAAGCGGTGCTGCGTAGGAGAGTATTCACGACTGGTGACTGAAACGCAAGCCTGAAATGAGCGTTGTGCGTCAATCTTTGTCACGAGTGATTTGAACCGTGAGCTTAGAAGCTGTCGACCTGCCGAGCATGCATGCCATGCATGGCTGTTCCCTGGCATGTTATATACACACCACCTACCTGACTTGTCTCGATGCACCCACCTTCTGATGAGTCTCGCGCGAGCGCGCACGATGCTGCATGCCATGGTGTTTCCCGCGGCGCAGGCCGAACAAGGATGAGAGCATTTCGACGAGCGTGCACCGCTCCTGTGTCTACGTCGTGCAGCAGAGCCCTCTTGCAGGACCCTTACGAGCTCTCTTCTCGTGCCGAACGCTCCTTCCTGCGCGTCGCGTCGGCATCAGCCTCTGCTGCTTCTGACACTCAGACGCACGCTTGCGCCCTATCGGCGGGTCAGCCGTGTTGAATTCAAATTCTTGATTAATCGCGATTCCTTGAATTAAAGGAGCGACATCGATTGTAACAAGTCGTGAATGACCCTTCTGGTTGCCTGGCTGCCGTGATGCCGCTCGACTCCTGCATTTCTCCTCTCTTTGCCTTGCGACAGCCGCTGCTGCATGAAAATCTTGCGCGACAGCGCCTACCGCGAATAGAAACCAATGGAGGCAGACAAGCAGGTCACCATGCACAACAATGAACGGTCGTGCAGTGAGAAATGAATTCAAGATTCCATGATTGAATCAAGAATGGCCGGCCGTTGCAGCTTGGTCCTGATGGTCTGAGAAACAGGTTGATGCTGCAATTCGCACACGTTCGTGTTTCATGACTCCGTCCATCTTCCACTGCTTCGCTGTCCGCTTTCACCATCTCTTCGTTGTGTCTTACCTCCTCTCTCAGCTCCACACGTCGCAAAAGAGCGTCGCGACCAGCGACATCATCAAACTCCCAGGGCAACTCTTCGTCGCGCGAGGCCCCTTCGCCATTTTGGTCTTTTTGACCCGGCCCATCCCTTCGCTCTTCTGCCACAGCAACTCGACTGCCTCGCATTCAGAACATCATGTCGTACGCCAGGCCACCTGAGCAGCCTTATGCTCACTCCAATGCGTCCCAGTACGAGCAAGCCAGCGCCTACTATCAGCAGCAGCAACAAGGCTCTGATGGCTACGGCCACGGCTCTCAGGGAACGTACGGTCACTCGCAAGGCGGCTACGGTGAAGGCGTATCTGGAGGCAGCTATGGAGGAGGCTACAAGTACGATGATCAGCAATCCAGCATGTTTGCTCCTTCCGAGGCGCATCACCACGGCCAGTCCAGCGCTGCGCTCAACACTCCTTACAGCGACTTTCCCCCCACCCCCGGTCAACCTCGCGCAAATGCAGGTGAGTACGAGTTGACTGCAGCGTAGACGACTGGGGTTGTGCACGTGGACAAGACGAGAGCCAGCTTCAATGGAAAGTGGTGGTGTCATCTCTTGGGCAAGGCTTGAAGTTGGCCCGGACTTCGACGCAGCCTATCGGCTTCGGAAATTGAACCACAGCGCTTCGAGGTCATTCTGGCTGCTACTCTGGCTTCAAAGATGAGTTACATCTTGTTCACAGACGACCAAAGCGGATCATCTACAGCGCCCTATGCTTGACAGCTTGAGCAGCGTGGCCATGTGCTGTCGACTCCATCAACGGAAGCATTTCAGGCTTGGCCCGCCGACTTCATGTGCAGAGCCAAGCTTTTCAGCGGCCGCGCAAGTCCGCCAATTTAGAGGCAAGATGGTGCCGCGATTGGCCTCTTTGCTGGTCAGATAAGCACATCGTTCGCTAGTCAGATGTGGTTGGACGGGCCTCCCTCATAGGTGCGAGTCCCTTCAACCTTGCGGTACTCGCTCGGCGGGACTGGGTGGCCAAGTTTGCCACATGTCGCCTGATTTCATTCAGATTCGGTTTCAAATCGCCAACTTTGGCGGCCGGCCGGCGTGACAGGGCAGCCCCTGTTGGCCGCACGCACGCTGTGCCGAGCCATGCAGGCGCAGCGACGAGTGATGTATCATGCGCTATGGAGACCGCGCGGCTGGGCGCGACATTCACGCCGCGGTGCTTGTAGCAGCTGCATCTGCATGCATACCCGTTATCCGAGCGGGTTTTAGACTTCCGCTCGTCTCATGCAGGACTTGGTCATGCAAAGCCACGGAGCTGCAGGGACCGGCACCTGTCAAGGCATTGCGACAGTCTGCTCGAATAGGGCAAAGTTACTTGCGGCGGAGTTCTCCTCCGTTCGCGGCCTCCCAGTTCAACGGGCTGGCGCCAGCGGCACGGCTTTTGCACGTCATCGCATCGCATGACCTCGAACCCTTCTGCGTAGGCGAGCGACCACAGCACCTCATCAGGGGTGCCGGCAACCCTGAGCGTCGGCGGGAAACGTCTCCAGAGCGTTGCTTGGAGGTGGCCCAATTCGAGGTTCGCTGAGGATTGGCTGCCTCATTGTGCCTGCCGTTGCGCCGTTGGACATCTTCGGCTCGTCGAGAATGTGCGGAGTCTGGTTGCTGGTCCCAAATGATTGCGCGCGTGTCCTTTGGCAGCTCTTGTGGGATGTACAGCCTCGCGAATTCCTTTTCATTCGGCCTGCCCACAGCGACCTTCTTCACCGTAGCTCCATTGTCGCCCGCTTTGACGTATTGAGATCACAATGGCTCACGAAGATGATTCCCTCCTCCCGCAATCGCACGGCGCTCCAGCCTCTGCTGCAGCCCAAAAATACTCGTACGCACCTCAGAAGAAGGGTGTGAGCAAGTGGATCAAGATCGGTATTCCGCTCCTGCTCCTCATCATTGCTGGTGCTGTTCTTGGCGGCATCTTCGGTTCGCGCGCTGCCAACAAGGATAGCTCAGCGAGCTCTACCAAGTCTGGATGGACTGATACCACTAGCGGCGACAAGCCCTCCTTCGTCGGCAGCGATGTTCTGCAAAGAGCCAGTGCTGCTGCCGCCAGTGGCAACGTGGACGACCTTCAATATCACGGTACCGATGCGTATGGTAATCCCTCCTTTAAGAGCAGCGCCACTCAGGGCTCTCCCTCTGCGTCGAACGGCTACCAGGTCGACTCCTTCAGCGGCTCCCTTCAAAATCTGCGCTCTCATCCTCGTATCATGACCACCCAGCAACAATGGCAAGACTTGCCCGGCAAGATCAGCAAGGATGCTTACCTGACCGTCTGGAACGATACGATCTTCAAGAACGCCACCGCGTGGTTCCCTATACCTCCTACCAACTACAGCATTGACGGTGGTTTCACAGGAAGTGGTATCCTTGACCCTGCTCGTGAGCTTCAGCAGCGCGTCAAGACTTTTGCCTACGCATACCATCTGAGTGGCGGCGACACCAAGTGGCGTGACCGCGCTTGGTCCGAGCTGAACACGGCTGCAGGCAACAATCCTCAATATCCTTGGGGTGAAGGCGCCCCCGATGGCTCGATTTGGAATGCCAACCACTTCTTGGATCTTGCCGAGGCTACTGCTGCATTTGCCATCGGTTACGACTGGCTCTACGATGCTTGGACGGACGACCAAAGAACCACTCTCCGCAACGCGATTGCAACGAATGGCCTCGTCTTCGGTAACAATGCTTACACTGGCCAGAACGATGGCGGTAATTACGGTTGGTGGCATTTGCCCGCGAATGGATTCGGCAATTGGAATTGCGTCTCTAACTCAGGCTTGCTGCTTGGAGCCCTTGCCATTGCTGGCGACGATGGCGGCAACACTACGATTTCGACCTTGGTGTCCCAGACTTTCAACAACGTGCTCGACAACATGAAGCAGAATTGCATGCAGGGTGTATACTCGGATGGAACCTGGAGCGAGACACCCAACTACTGGTATTTCGGTACCAATGCTCAGGCTCGTGCAGTCTCAGCACTGACCACTGCTACAGGAAGCGATCAGGGCTTGATGGCTGCCAACAACAACTGGCCCAAGACGGGTTACTTCCACATGTACGTCTCGGGCATGGCTTCCATGTTCTTCTACGGTGACAATGGACCCAACAAGTTCTCGACCAATGCCAACGGCATGTTCCTATGGGGCGCCCTATCAAACAATCCGGTCTACGCCCTCTTCCAACGCGACCGGGCAGATGCCGCTGATCCGCTCAGCATGTTCTGGTATGATCCGTCTACCAAGGGAGCATTCTGGAGCGGCCTGGACCTTGACAGGTACTTTGACGACAGACGCGGTTCGTGGGCTTCGATGCGCTCTTCGTGGACTGACTTTACTGGCATGTATGCGGCCATCAAGTCGTCCAACTTGACTGGACATCAGACTCATGGAGATCTCGATGCCGGGACTTTTGTCATCGACGCGCTTGGCACCAGATGGGCCGGTGAGCTTGGCAACGGCAACTACCTCTCCACCGACTACTTCAAAGAGGAGGTGCCTACCGCACTGCGTTGGGGGTACTACAAGAAGGCCACTCAGGGTCAGAATACGCTGGTGATCAATGACCAGAACCAGATGCCAGACTGCCAACCCATCAACAAGTTTGAGACTACTGGTGCCAAGCAGTCCAGCAGCGTCAGCTACACGCCGGGCACCAACGATGTCGCATACTTTTCCACGGACATGAGCTCTGCATACAACAACTCCGGCTCAGCATTCCCCGCCAACACCGTCAAACGAGGAATCCGGATGCTCAACGGCAGACGGCAAGTCCTGGTTCAGGATGACATTGGCGCGAACGGCGGCATCCAAAAGATTCAGTGGCGCGTTCAGACGAATGCGACGATTACGTTGTCCGCTGATCGGCGAACCGCGACTCTCACCTTGGATAATGCTACTGATCCCAACGCATGGGGAGGCAACACTGTTGCTGGACCTGCGCCGCTCATCGCTCGTTTCGCGAAGCAAACGATGATCGTCAAAATTCTTTCGCCTGCCACCGCCACTTTCGGCGTCACTTCGTTCAGTGGCAACCCGGAGCAGAAGCCCACGCGTATCTACGGCACAGATCCAAACACCACACCCGGAGAGCAAGGCGACCAGCCCATGCCCGGGAGATCCGTCCTGACAATCACCTTGGATGGCGGTGACGCTCAGTCGATCCAGGTCTTGTGGCAGCCTCAGTGGTCGAACTTGAACGATGCTGACAACAAGGAGCCACCCAATGTCCCCATTGACAACTGGAGCCTGACAAGTCACAACTAGATCATTAGAAAGTGTTGTGGCCGAACAATTAAGTCCCTTACCCAAGTAAGCCCCTGGCGCTGGCCGCATTTCAATCATCTCACAGATCCGCATTCGCAATGAGCGACGAGCCTTCTCCAGGGCGCAACGTCGATCTGATCGCATCCATTCACTCATCCAACTACTCGCTGTGGTCTACTTCAATCACTACGGACATTTTTCCTCCCACTCCTACACTGTCTTGCCAATGTGTCGCGCGGGTCAACCCTTGCGATTCCAAATTTTCCCCATCACCGTTGCCACATCTCCATTTCGGGCCCATCCTCGTATTCGAGAAAGTAATTCTAGCTTCCACCTCGCCTGTTTCTTGCGTGCTCTCTTTGTCTCCACGAGTCGATTGAGAATGTCATTATTTTCGCTGCGGCGTGAGGATAGCGTTGCACGATTCTTGATTTTGCGTTAGCTGCTGTGGTCATCGAGTTAGGAGTGTGCGCCGCATGTCTGAGCCGGTCACGTGCCCCTCCACCTGCACCCTCATCCTGGTTGAGTCAGCTCAACAAGCAGCCGAGTTGGATCGTGGATTAACATCAGCAGCTAGCATGTGACAGGGCGCTCGCTACCTTCATCAATCACAATCACCGCTTGACATTCAATTTGCCCACTCGACATCTCGATTCTCAAAAGAATTCAAGAAAGTGTGAGGAGCGCTCACACAGCATCACTGCAAAGCGCCTATAGTCCGGCAAGAGGACGCCCGAGATCGGCTACCCACGTCCCTCCTGCTTGTCCGGCCAGGAGCGACCTTCGCAATCGCCGGTGTTGCACGCCCGATTACGTTATCTTCATTCGTGATTTGCGAGTCAGCAAACGCAATCGAAGGGGCGCGCCACATCTACAAAGCGCGCATTCCTCATTCCCTCGGACCCTTCCGCGCATTCGCTCCCTTCTGTGCGCGAACCATGTCGTTTCAACAAAGGGTGACGCCCATCTTGTTGGCAACGCTGGTAGGCATAGTGTCGGGCGCGTACCTCTTCGGACCACCCCTGCAACAATTCAAAGTCGACTCTAGAGGTACCTTTGATCCTGATATCGCTAATGCTGCTGCTCACGGCGGTGCGGGCGGTGCGGTAGCGGATGCGAAAGAGATGGACAAGGGTGGGGCTAATAAAGGTGAGAAGAGTTTAGCGGCGAGTTGAAGGAGGCGATCGGGCCAGGCAAGATGGAGCGCGCCATTGGAAAGGAAAGGGTGCGGGATGAATGGAATGGAGCGCGAGAGAGATCACCAAGACTGCGTCGTCATGCTCGGTCATTGCATAGCCACGCCGATGATGAGCTCGGCGCGCTATAAAGTCACGAATTCCTTGTGCAACAGGCGCGCACCGACACGCACTCATCATCTTTGCATCCGCCGTTGCTAGCACCCAAACTCACGCTCACGCTGCCCTTGCATTCACATTTGCGTCGATTCAGATTCAAGACCGACAATTGCAGACCAAGGCAGGGCCGCACTATTGGACGCCAAAGATCAGGCAAAGGATCTCAAGGAGCAGGTCCAAGCCAAAGCCAAAGCGACGTGATCAATGCATCGCAATGCGATCAAATCATTTCACCCCATGTCTCGAACGTCCATCTGAATGTGATTGTATGAGCTCGAGTTTGATGAGTGGACGGCCTGCAGTGCGCAATCCGTCCCAATCTCTCGCATGTCTGCCACCAAAGCTTGGTCAGCCCATTCGAAAGAGCCCATGACGTGAGAAAGAATGGGCTGCTGCGGAAATCATGTCATTTGCGGCTTGGAATCGAACAGAGCTCATGGGAGATGACGGCAGTCGAGTGGGCACGAGTATGAGCAGAAAGACGAGCTTCACAGCGTGGTGCTGCAAGATGATGAAGACATCACATTGCTAGGGCAGATTGATCACCAATTTACTCCTCCTCGTCGGCGTCGACACCGGCCACGTTGAAGAACTGCGGAACGCGAGAAGGAGAGAGTAGTGATCAGCACGCAAGGCCCAAAAATGCGAGCCATCATTTCTCGGGCCATTTGCGAGTGCTCTAGAGCTGGTCCAAGGCCAGCGATGTCAGCTTTGCCGGTTGACTTACCTTGATCTCAAAGCCCTGCTTGGAGGTAGCAACAACGCGAAGCCAGTCACGGAGCTGGTTGCGCTTCAGGTATCTTTTGGTGAGGTACTTGAGGTAACGCTTGGAGAAGGGAATGGTGGTGGTGACCCAAATCTTGCCTTCGCCCTCACGAGCCACCTTGACCACATCTCCGAGCTGTCCGGCCTTGCCCTCTACCTTGATGCGATCGTGAAGGTACTTCTCGAAAGTAGCAGCGTCCAGAATACCGTCGGCAGCGGGGCCGGAGAAGTCCTGTGAGGTCAGGATGGAGGTACACGTGTGAGTCCTGCCCTGGTCAACGTGCGAACATCCTGCGGCCTACCGCAATGCGCGCATGTACGCACAACAAAGTACTTCTCGCCCACGCTCTTCTTAGCGACCTTGGGTGCAGCAGGCTAGAGGTGAACAGATAGAGAGGGGGGAGGCAGTGGATCAGTTGCGTGTCGCGGGCGAGATAAAAAGCCTCGACTCGCCCCGATTGCTCACCATTTTTTTTGCAAGTTTCTGTCGGTGACGTTAGAATGGATGGATTCGGTGTGGAGAAGAGCCTACACGGTTGAAACCTCTGGTCCCGTTGTGCAAAGCAGAGCAGAACTTGATGCTAGGTGGTTGATTTATGGTGTTGAACGTCGAGGCAAGACCCGCCATCTGACCGAAGTCGCGACTGATTTCTAGCTCTGCAGCATGGCATGTATGCACGGCCAAGAAGCACGAGAAATCCGCAGGCTGTCGAGCCGCGGGAGTGCCAACCACGTGGCTTTGCCCTCCCAGAGCGTCCAAATCCGCGCGGCAAGCTCGGATTCAAATTTTAGCTTACGCTGTCGTTTGCTCAGCCGCGAACGCGGCGCGTGATGGTCATGCAGCGCGCTGCAGGGTTCGTGCTGCGCGCGTGCGCCCAATCAACATCGAAAGTCCTCGACAGAGCCGTCGAATTCTTGATTCAAGATTCAAGATTCATTTTGTTTGCACGCGACAGTCGATCGCAATTCAAGATTTGGAGTTCCGCTGAGTAATCGCATGAGACAAATGAAGTGTTCAAGATGCAATTTTGAGAGAATCACATATCAAACATAACATTATTTGTTGTACTTCATTCAAGATTCAAATCCAATGAGTATCCAACATCATTCAAGATCAGCACGCGCGCCGCGTGCACGCATCCACGCGCCGGGAGAGCACTTTTGAGTCTTGAGCTGTTGTCGCCTCCACAACGACAGTCGCCAAAGGTGATTGAATCTGTGAATGTGCAACCAACCCATCCATCACAATCACCGATGTTGACCCGGCTCTCGAGCTGATAGGCGACTCGCTGCTTTGATCTACCACCTGCTCCCAGGTGGCAAGCATCGATCCCGCTTGCCCTCCCTCGCAAGCCCGTTGGAAGCTTAAGAGATCGTCACGACAAACTTGCATAGCCACTGTCACTCCACCTTACAGACGCGACACCAGACTGCAGCTGGATTGCTATCGATTTATTTGAGCGTCTAAAGCGGCCAGGCATGATGCAACCGAGGCGTGGAGAGCGCCATCCTCCGTCAGCGGGGACTTATGAGCCCAAACATCGTCGCAATTACAGAGGTGAGTGGATGTAGGCCAGCGGAATGGGTCGCCATGCAGGCGCGTATTCCCAAGTCCTGCCCTTCTACTGCTCTTGGTTGCTTGACTCATCCAGCGTAGTACCGCTCTGTCGGCCATCATACAGGCTACGTCCCGAATCCCGGAGACGAGGTGGCGCACGTGCCCGCTGGCATCTCACCAGATCAGCTATGGGAAGGCTTCATTTCGCAGAGGAGACCATGCGTCATCGATGGGCCTATCCAGGATGCCGAATTCAAAGCTGTCGATTGGGTGAGTAGGCGCCCGACCGCACCAAGCCGCACAGCATGAAGGTCAACGGGCGATGCTGACATCGCAAGGCCTGTCCATCACAGACTGACTTGGACAGACTCAAGCAGAGAGCTGGGTCCAGCAGAGTCAAGATTGAGCCAATCCATCCTTCCGGCAGGTTCGGCACCGCGATGGAGAGACAAAAGGTGCCGTTTGGATTGTACCTGGACATGATGCAGGATTCAGAACTAGCAGGCAGCTACTATCTCACCACCCAATACGAGAGCGAAGATGGCGAGGATAGCCAGGACGAGGAGGATGAGGCAAGCCGAGAGGCAGTAGAGGATGCAACGCGATTGCTACGAGCAAAGTCTAGCAATGATGAGCGAGCCGGCAGGCTCAAACGCCCCAGGTCGGCCAGTGCTGAGTCAGAGCGTGATAGTGATGTCGACCATCGGCCGACCAAAGTGCGCAATCGCACAGATTCTGTCCCTGCCAGGCGGACATCGCACACCTCAGCTTCGTCAGCACTTCAAACCTTGTCACCTGACTCAGAGACCTCGTCGAGCTCAAGCTCGTCTGCTCCGACCTCTTACACTGCGGATGAATCCGTCGAAGACTTGGACCCGCCCTTGCCACCTCCAATGTCCGCACTGGCCGGTGGCTTACCACTGCCTGTACCCAAGATCTTGGGAGGGCTGGTTCTGCAGCAGTGCAACATGTGGATGGGCGCTTGTACTGAGCCAAAAAGCTCTGGGCTGCATCATGACCATCACGATAACCTCTACATGCTAGTGAGTCGAACCACGCGCAACACGACCGCTATGATGCTGCATGCTTGATGCAGGCTTGCTAATTTGAGTCTTGGCCGCCGGCAGCTCTCGGGTAGGAAGCGCTTCTTGCTCTGGCCACCTATTGCACACTTTTGGCTGCAACCAAGGGGTCGCCTAGAGGGCATGCACCAGAACGGTCTTTTGACATACGTGCCTCGCGGCGAGTTGCCAAGCTGGCACGCTGCCTCCAACAGACAACAGCTTCGCGCTGATGGCTTGCCAGAAGCTGAATCTGCTCACTGGAGGATCAAAGCGCGTGAGAGAGCGCTCGAGGAGGCGAATGAGAGAGCAGCGCAATTGTCTGGCGAAGCGCACAGACCGGCGAGCAGACGCAAGGGAAAGGGCAAACAGACCCCTGAGCAGGTGTTGGCGATGGAACGACTTGCTGCTGCGAGGTTGCATCAGGAGTACATTCGTCGTCTAGAAAGCGGCGACAGCTTTGTGAGCAGAGAGGATGAAAGGGACGTGGAAAGCGATCTGGAGGAAGACGAGGTGTCGTCGCAGAGTGTATCGCCGACGGTCGCTAGGCGGGCCTTGGCAGCGCGTGCTGACGCGGAACTGGATGATGCAAGTGATGACGATGGAGGAGAGCACCTACTTGCGCAAGCTGCGCGTCTCGGAGCGCGAGAGAATATCGAGAAGATGCACTACGACGCAATAGCCGTCCCTTTCATTGCGCATGCTTTGGCACCAGCGGAGGAGCGCATTGGTCTGCCTCCTCTCATCCCACACGAGGTCAGAAAATCGGACGGGACACGAGACGACTCTTCCGATATATCAGACGCATCGATAGATCAACGAGAGCTCAACGCAGCCTTCTTGGAACCGTTGCTCGAAGCGGTTCGTCGTGCTGGCAACACTGCTTTGGATCTTGACACTGCAATGATAGCCATTAGACAAGGCTATCAAGCAGTGGGACTCAGTGCCGAGGGGCTTGCGCTAGAGGACGACAGCGACGAGTCAGGATCGGATGACGGCGCCTCCCAGATGTCTGAACCTAGGCCCTGCCGCTCCTCCCCACTCCGCATTCCGCCGGGCATGCTTCCAGGCGGGCTGTTAGGGCGACCTGATGGGACTGGTGGCGATGAAGAACACGAGTTTGAAGAGTATGACGACTATCTCGCTGAGGCACAAGAAACCGTCCATCCACGAGACATTGAAGCCATGCTTGGAAGGGAGCTAGGCTCGGGAGCCGAGCAGGGTCTCCTCGATGCGGACGACTTAGATGATACAGCGCTCGAGCAAGCGATGTTTGCGGAAGCGCAAGCTCACCCTGAACAACGCGAAGCTCTCGTAGCCAGACTACACGAGATAGCCACCGAGCAATCGGCGAGTGTCGCTCAGTCCCGTTCAGATTTAGCAAGTTCGGGAGGGGAAAGTGAGGAGTCCGAGATAGGCTCTGATATCGCCGAGGAAGGGGATGACGAAGGTGCTGTGTTGGGCATGGCGTCAGAGCAGCAAGACGCGATCAGGGAGCAGCACCTTGTCCAGCAGCTCAAGTATGGGCTTGCAAAATCCGACTTTGCTTTCCTGGACGAGGTCATGGACGATGCGCAAGCTTTCTGCATTGCACGAAGTTCTGCGCAGCTGCCTATTACGGACGATCTGCGTATCTTGGTTGCTGCGGTGCTGCAGATAGGCGCGATGGAGGATGCCACTGATGAAGACGAAAGGGGGGCAGAGACTACATCCGAAGCGTCTGCCGAGTCAGACGACGACTTGCAAAATGGACCCAACAGCTTCAGCTCGATAGATCCGGGCGCTCTTCACGCATACTTTGGAATTCCCGATGACCCAAAGGGAGTAGTCTCACCTGCAAACGTACCTCCTGAGGCGCTGGGTCCAAGAGCTGGCTGCCCGGCCCCCCTCGTTGTCGACTTGAAGCCGGGTCAGATGCTATATTTGCCCGTCAGCTGGTGGCATGAAGTGACAAGCTGGTCCGACGAGGTATCAAACGGTTCGACAGGCGCGCCGAGTGGAGATGGCCAGGATGACGAACGACGCATCGTGCCGCATCAAGCCATCTCATGGTGGGTTCATCCCCCTACTGCACTGAAAGAAGGGATCGCCATGCCACCTCTTTGGACCGACGAGACGCAAGATGCAGGCGCTACAGGTCACAAGAAGGCAGACGGCAAGCCCAACGGTGGCGCGGGATCTGCAGGAGCGGCACAAGCTAGCAATGCGCCATCACCTGCAAGCAGGACGGTCGGGACTTCAGCACAACCTTATGTGGACTTTGAAGTGTGGGATGAGATCAGACGAGCCGTAAACGCCTTCATCAAGAAATCTCGCGCAGACGCCGAAAGAGAGGCGATCAGGGCGAAAGCAGAAGACGAAGAAGACGTTGTCTTCTAGCTTTGTTGACATGTTTCGCCATCCTTTGCTGCCCGAAGCGATGTTACTTTCCATTCCATGCACAATGTCTACGACGAGGCAGTCCGCATCAAATTGCAAGCCCGACGTATCACCAATGTTGTTACAGATGAGAGACGTGGGCGACTAAGATGCAGTAGGAGGAACTACGTCTCGATGCCATCGATCCACGACCTGAGCTGCGAGGGACGTTTGCAAGTGTTCACAACGTTAGAGAGCCAGATCGGGCAAGATCTTACAGGGGCATTGCCGCTTCGCACTTACAATGACTTCGCGTAATGCCTCGCCAAGCGAGCTTACCGAACGGCTCCTCTTCGCCACCCCATAAATCTCCTCGTGGGACGTCGCTCTTTACATCGTCGCCGCCTCTAGCTGCTTTGGCAGCTTCGAAAGCGGCTCTGAACTGAGGAGAGAGCGAGTCTAGAGGTAGCGGTCGTACTACCTTGGATAGCGCGGGCATGCTGAAGAAGGGAGCCTTTAGAACGTGTATCAAAAGGGCCTGTCAGTCATCGCTTGAATTCAAGTATGTATGCGTCTCGAAGAGCGCAGCACTCACCGAGAGGCGTTCGCCCACGGTGGGATCTGCGAAGACGCGATGGGTCGCTGCTACTAGAAGGCCTCGCGTCACTCGCTCGATCTGTTGACCGGCATTCACGATGATTGCGCCAGTTCTGTGCGGCACGTCTACCCAGTCGCCCGATGCTAGTTGGACTTGCAGTCCTTTGGCCGGCGTCGTGGCGAGCAGAGTCAACCAGCCTCCGTCTTTGTGCGCTCCTGCGACGGTGCAGTGGTGGCAGCATGTGAGCACAGAACGTTCCCGCAGGGCAGGCTTGCGGAACACGAAGTCGACGCTGAGATGGCCCTCACCTACTCCCTGATCGCCGCCACCACGGGCATTTGGATACCTGATGGTCTTCATTCTGAAGTACGAATCGTTCTGCTCGCTCTTCATGAACTGGTGCAGAGCATTCTGTGGCGCTCCGAGGGCAAGCTCGAGAGCGGTTGTGAGCTGATCGGACAGCTCTTGAGCTCTCCTTGTATACTGCAGGATGATGGACTGATGGCCGGGAAGGACGTGGTCTGGGAGGAACTGATTGGGGCCCAACAGGCGATGAGGGGCAAACTCCGCCTTGGGTCTTCCTTCAACCTGAGGTCCATAGTCGATCTGGTCTCTCTGATCCGCTTTGCCCTGCGTTTGCTCCTCGTACAGGGGAGAATAGCCTCTAAAGTGCGGCGAGTCCACCATGAGGATTTGATTCCTTTCTGACGCGGGCGACGCGAAGACGGCTGCCGTTACGCGGAAAAGCTCTTCCCTGAGCGCCTCGAGGGGAGAGCCGTCGAGGTAGAAGAAGCCAGTGCTGGTCATGCACCGTCTCAGAGATGCCAAGAACACCTCCCTCCTGTTTTCGCTTGTTGCTGCACTGCTGCTGCAGCTACTGCTGCCAGCATCCCAGTCTGACCAGTGCAGAATGTGAGAACCATCATCATGCGTCTCGAGCGAGCCGGTCGAGGACCAATTCGGCTTCTCTGGCGCTGCGTCGTTTGCTGTAGTGTGCGCAATGGCGCTGCTTGTCATAGTTGTGGCTATCGATGGCAAACGGCTGGAGCAATCGGCTAACAACAATGTTGACAAGAAAGAATTGGGGATCTTGAGGAGCAAAGGGCGGTATTTAGCTCAGTGAGCCGGACTGTTGCCTGCGTGAGGCACAGGGTGCTCGTGCGGGGACGTGATTCTGGAACGGACATATACGCGCTTCATGCCGGGCGCACGGGCATTGGCGTGAGGTGGAGGTGAATGGCGTGCTATCACGTGCACGCTCAACCTTCTCGCCGCAGGTGTATGCTCATGCTCACGGTCAACAGCATCGTCTGACTTACGACTACTCGCTCATGGCTCTTCGCTTCCTCATGTCATCCAGAAAGTGCCGGACATTCGACAAGAGTGTATGAATCAAGTAGCCACCAATCATAGCCGCGCAGCCGCAAAGGGCTTTCGTTGCCGTGGTGCCCAAGCTGATAGCCGAGGTCGGATGAGTGAGGTCTTGGGGAATGCGGCCATGGCCAGAGAGTCGCTCCTCTCAGACGTCACCAGTGCTCGTCAAGAATCGTAGCTGAGCTGCAAGCGCTGTATGTCAACACTGGCCTTCCAGATTGCTCACATTCGCCTGCATTCCGTGGCGCTAGGGACCAAGTTCCTCTCGACTTGGGCATACGACACGTCTACAAAGCTCGGCTGCGACCCAAGAATACCGAATCGACCTTCCTCTCGCTTCCCCTGTCACGAACGAGATGCAGCATACCGAGGTCTTCAAGGCGACAGCTGGGTCGTGTCGCGTCGTTGCCGATACGAAGGCCACTTATCAACAAGCCGCGATCGAGTCGGCACCTCGTGACGCTTTCATCTCTCCTACAGTGCTGCTCATACTCTCTGTGACGATCCTTCATCCGCCCAGAGCGCACCGTCGAAGGGCTCGTGCGGCTGCAGACAACGACGCCGATGATGCTCAAGAGCTCGAGCGGGATACCTTGGAAGCCGGCACTCGTGTAGAAGCGCTGTCAGCGTCTGAGCTTGGACCAAGCGGCGTTGTGCGAGCGATCAAAGTCTACATCGAGCATGTGCGTCGCATACAAGCCCGTTGACGGGCACTTCCTAACGCGAAATGATTGCCCCTGGCAGAATGCAGCGGCACTCTGCCTTCGGCCATCCGTGGAGCTGGTGCAGGATGAGCCTGGAGCCGTGTTCGCGCTACGTCGTCAGGGTGGTGACAAGGCCCGGGCAGTGACGTGTGCGTCTGCGCTTACATCGCCTTCACTGGCACTCCTATTGACAGTGCCCAATCGCCTCTGCTCAGTGAAGCTCACCTCGGCAGCACCACAGTGGTCAAGCGACACGACACAGAGCTTCCTCACGTCAGCCGACACGCATATTACGTGGAATGGACCACGACGAAGGAGACCTGATCGAGGTAAGCGGGCTAAGTAACGCTGGCTGCAAATGGCTATGCTCACCTTGCTGTGGTGAAAGACCTGAAGCAGGAGCTTTGCCGGCCCACACTGGGCCCAGTCGACACAAGCGCACTTCATAGACTGCTCGAGCAAGTGCTGATTCGTTTCGTGTCGGCTTGTCCGAGTGGCAGATTTTGCGCGCCGTACATCGAGGTGAGAGTGGAGGTGGCCGGGTGTTCGGGAGGTGCGAGGCTTGAAGATCAAGATCGTCTTTGCCTACCCTCAGCGGCTCGAGACTATCTTGCCTGCGCTGTCATTCGTCGCGACGCCATTCCATCGCTTGGCAGCCAAGGCTAAGGAGCGAAACGAGGATGGACCCCTGTTTCGAGCGATTGCCGTAAGCACGCATTGCCTCCAATGAGGAGTGCTGAAGACTGACCTGTCATGGTCCATGGACAGACTCTTAGACAGAACTTGCCGCAAGCGTTCCAGTCTAATGGTGGTCGATCAGCAACCATTCGCGTTCTGCAGCCTGTTCGTGCAGAAGTGCCCTCCAAACGAACACGCTCACAAGATGCCGGCTCGCGTCGTCAAAAGCTCCTTCTCCGCCGAGTGGTCACATGCAGAGCTGTTCGTCAGACGCGCACTGTTGGACGTCCAGCTACGCCACTCACCCGTTCCAGAGCTCCTCCCAGCATGGCGCTTGCAGTCATACCTCGCCGTAACTTACCGATTCACGATTGGTGATCGGAATTCAAATTCGAATCGTGAATCACAATGCTGAATTGAATCTGAATCAAGACAAAAGAGTCGCGTGACGTGACGATTTGCGATTTCGAAGCGCGCGCTCGCGCAGCCCGACTCCACATGCAAAATCACATCACGTGAATCAAGTCACGCGAAAGCTGCTCCCTGCATGGCCATCCATCCACTCGTGACTTCCTGATCCATCTCTCGCAGCTGGGCATATGGGCGGTGGCCACGTCCAGCGCCTCATGGTGATAGCATGTTATCCTACAGGGCGAAGCGCCCACAACTTGATTCGATTTGTCATCACCTGTCCGCCGTCGACAGAACGAGAATCAAGGCCTCTGCTGGCTAATGAAAGCGGGCGGAGCGAGCTGTCACTCAGCAATCGGTACTGCGAAGAGCATCGACTCGGACGTGCGGCAGATGTTGGCGTATCATGGCAGGCTCAGCGTGAGCATCGTCTTGTTCGCGGTGCTGAGTGCGCTCCAAGTTCATCTGGCAATCTCGACGAGCGCCAGCTACTGCGCATCCGATGCCGAGTTCACCGTCATCGGCGCATCGTCAGGTCACATCTATCGCGATCCGCCATCTTTGCCCACCTCTCGAGCTCATCGGGTAGCCATCATAGGAGCGGGCCCCGGTGGCACATCAGCAGCGTACTTTTTGTCCAAGGCCAACCAGCGGCTCCGTCGAGATGGCAAGGAAGAACAAGGCTTTGAGATTGATGTGTACGAGAGGAACAGAGTGGGCGGTAGAACTAGCGTGGTCAAGGCTTGGGCTGACAAAGAGGGGTCTGTCAAGCCTGATGTGGGCA